TGGAGCAGTGGAAGGATGGGTGACCTACTGGGAAGTGAGTTTTGGGATCGTGGTTTGGTCGGGTCGGGTTGGTGTCGATATCGGTGTCGGATCGGGTCGGGTTGGTGTCGATGTCGGTGTCGGATCGGGTCGGGTCGGTGTCGGTGTCGGGGTCGGGGTCGGGGTCGGGTCGGGTCGGGTCGGGAATATGTTTCGAATTTTTCGTTGGAAAATTCCAACGGAATGCGGTTGAAAATTCTTTACTGCTGGATTACAAGTCTGCTTTCCCGAAGTGGAAACCTAAGGTACTCGAGTTTCTTCACAAAGAATGGCCACTTCACTTCGGCTGCTATATCTTTAGATGTTTTCCATAAACACAACATGTGTTTCCCCTCTTCCCCTTTCACCACAGGGCTTGGATACCATTGCCCCCAATCTTGATCCATCCGGAATAGATCTCCTCTCTATAAGTCCATATATATATATATATATATGAGCATTCGATTCCCCGTGATGCTAACTGAAACCAGAACTCTCTGGTTTCGTCTCCTTGTGCATATAGATATTGGTACCATACAGTCAAGATAATAACTCATTCTTCTGTTAATGTCAGAAAATGTTGTGTATGGATCCAACCAGAAGAATCACTGCAAAAAGTGCGTTGGAGCATGACTACTTCAAGGATCTGGGTTTCGTCCCTTGAACCCTTCTCCGTTTGATATTCCCCACCCTCTCTTAAATCTTCGAGGGAAGCAAAATTATATGAGTGTGTGTATATTTGTGGTTGATGTTTGTTTTTCTCCTCAGTTCCTCTTTTTTTTTTTTTTTACATGTCCGAAAATTTTGTCGGAATTTATTTGCAAGAACTAGTAATGCATGTAAGCTCCCCGAATGCTTCCCATTTCCCCCCTTCTCCTGTTTACATTATTCTTTTAAGTTGATAAACTAAATAAACCCATCGATTATTTAATGTACTGACAAAACTTTTTACTTTTAAATTTATTATAAAATTTTACTATATATTTTATCTAATAATATTTTTTATTTTAAATTTATTATAAAAATCTATCCACTGTTAATTTTAGCAAGGGTGGACACAGAGGATATCCGTATCTGATCTATACAAATATATAATCTAACTATTTGTATCAAATACGTATTTTTCGGATATCCGCAATTTCAGATATACGTAAAAAATTGCGGAACTTTGGTAATATCCGTATTTCATTTAAAACATGACAAAAATAAAAAAACTCAAATACAAATAAAAGAGAGGATCTAGATATTAAAATTTTCGAATACATTGAGAAAAAAAGAATGAAACCATAGATATTGTAATCATAAACCCTCATTCTACAGATATATACAACACCTAGATACATTCCTATATGGAGATTTGTATATGAACTAGAACAAAGTCAGAAAAAATACCAATCCAAGAGAATCTTACTCTGAAAAAAACGAAGGTCACAAAACAAATAATCATGCAAAAATCACTCGCTGGAAAATAGACCTATACAGAAGAGTTATCCTTTCTCTTTACAATGCACGAAGCAGAATAGCTACTCCGCTTTGATTTCATTGCCCCAAACCTTCCTGTGACATTGAATTCCAAGAGGATAGGTTAAAGCGAAGGTAGAATCTATCATTCTAGTCTATTAGGTAAGGTCGCTTCGATTGAAAAGCCAGATCAAAAATTGACGAAAGAACAAGATGAAAATGACAACCAGACCCAACAGTTGATGGCCCAGTGGATGAGAGGTGACAAAGTCATCCTCGAGGTCATGGGTTCGATTCCACTGGTGGGGAGGGATATAATTTCTGGATCAAAATGGTCCATATACAAAGGCTGGTCCCGGGTCTAGGGTGGATGTAGTCGGGCCGAAGACCCGGGGAACCATCCTGGTTATCAAAAAAAAAATGACAACCAGAAGAGCGAAAAAAAAGGAGGCTATTTAATTTGTGGCTTTGACTAAGTCTCTCCGAAAAAAACCTTGTATATTTTTTATTTTTTTCAAAATGACCCCATAAATATAAATTCATTACCAAAATATCCTATATTTAATAATATTACTAAAAACATGGATCAGATCAGATATATCGGATAATTTGATTTTGATATCCGTATCCGATAAATATTTTTAAATCAATATCCGTATCCGATCTATAGATCTAGATATCCAAATTTTTTATTCGAATACGAATCAAATAACGGATCGGTTCGATTTCTCGAGTATTATGTCCACCTCTAAATTTTAGACAAAACATCATCAATTATCTTATTCAAAAAATATTATATTTTAAACTTGTTACATATAAATTATATAATTTTAAATATCATACTAAAAAACTGAATAATTTATGTAAATTTATTATATCATGATATTTTGAATTTGTGTAAATATTTAGATTTTTATTGTGACATTTAAATTATATAATTGATATACGTCATCATTTATATAATAAATTTATATATAAATTTTATATTTAAAATTAAATAGATTATGTTAATTGAATTCATAATTGTATATGAAATTTTTTTATAAGATTTGTGATTTATTAATATTTGAGATGTTTCAAACTATCAATTTGAATCTTTTATTAAACACTTTAAATAAATAAAGTATTGTATGGTGAATGATTTGCATATAAATTAATTATATAAATACATATATTTTTAAAGATAATATAAGAAATAAGGTTTTTTTTAAAGTTGACGGATTTTTCTAATAAGTTTAAGGTATAAGTTTTTTGAATAAGTTACATATGTTTAAAATTAATATAACAAGTTTTAACCAAGATTTTTTTTGAACAAATTAGATAATCGATGGTCATTTGTGATCTTTTCATATTTTTAATTCTATTTGTTTCTTTTTTTTGAACTTTTTTTCTCGTTAATTATAACACGGGTTTCTTTAGTAAGTGTTTGGATTCTTGTACGACTCAGTCAATGCTTAAGACATTCGCCCATCCACCGGATGAAAAAATAAAAAAATAGATGCTGGCTAGTTATGATTTTTTTTTTTTTGTAACAATAGAAACCTATCTTACAAGCCTTTCGGGCCGAACAACCGTTTAATTCCGCGGATCGAACAGTATATCGGACAATAAATCCACCGATTCCTACGCAGTAGTCAGCAAACCAGATGGAACAGATAAACCAATCGAAATTGATCGATTTAAGAAAAAACTCAGATTTCAGAAGAAATCAAACTTACAACATCGTCAAGAAAAATCGAACCCACAACCCCGTTTAAAAAGCACTTATCATTTTCCAATTGAGTTGGAGACTTTCTCGTTGAAGAATAGAAACAATGACCAGATAACAATGAATTTACCAAGTAACAATGACCATATTCTTATTTGAAGATTTATAATTTTACTATGATTTTATTCCTATATGCCAATAGGTTATTAGGTCTGCATGCATAACATTAATAAAATTATTTTCACTATTCTGCCCAAAAAAAGTCATCCGTTTCTTGGCTAGATAACTCAAGAAATGTTCTTCTTACGACTAAATTGAGAGAGAAATGGTGATTAATAGGCCTGAAATAATTATTCAACGGCGGCAACTTGGTGATATACGTTTTCTATTTGGTGTCTTAATCGATTTGAAATCGGATATAATATTAATTAATTTTTTTCTAAAAGGAAACAGCAAACAGACATTATTGCTCTTTATGACGGCGGCGGCCACGCGTTTACTACAATTTGGCACCAATCATGCACATTACAAAACGTTGCTTCTGCTATTATATCAGCAACAACAACCCCCATGTGTATATGACCTTAATTCTTTATTTTCCGTTAGTTGTATTTTTACATTTTTATTTTATTTCTTTAATTCTTTATTCATATGTTAAAAACTACAAAATATCCAAAAGGATGTGAGAGAGAGAGAATTTATGTGAAACCGGAAATAAATAAGGGCTTTCAAAATCAAGGAGTAAATTTGAAATCAACTGAATCATAATTTCCATAGAAATAAATTAATTTGTTTTTTAAAATTAGTTGACTAGCCATGAGAAGGTGGCTTTGGAATTGGGCCAAAGCCCCAGAGAGAGAGAGAGAGAGAGAGAGAGAGAGAGAGAGAGAGAGAGCGCTACACAATTGGCTGTCGGAAGTCAAAAGTTCAAATTTGTTTTTTATTTTTTGCATTCTCATTTCGTCCAAACTCCTTGGTTTTTGAAATCCATTGCTTATACTCGTAGAAAGTGCGTTTTCAGAGGGAATCTCGATGTTAGGGTCGCAGCCGCTGACTCATCGTCCCGGAGCTCCGGTCACCGCATCCGCTGCCCCTGGCGACACCGATGGCGGCGAGCTGATCAGAACCTACAAGGCGTGGAAAGGGAACAACGTGAGCTATCTTTCCCTTTCCCTCTCTCTCTCTCTCTCTCTCTCTCTCTCTCTCTCTCTCTCTCTCTCTCTCTCTCTCCCGGCATCTGGATTTTGGATGATCACTGCGGAGTTTTTAGAAACTGGTGTTTATGATTCAGATTAGGGTTTTTGGGTAAAATCTGAGCCCAAGATGCTCAGGTTTTTGGTGGAATTAACTGGGTTTTGAGGAGTTGTGGAATAGTCAAAGTCGTATTAAGCTCCTTTCTTTAGATCAAAAAGTTGAGGTCTATGCCCTAATTCTAAGATATTTACTGCTGAATTGGGTTCTGTGTAGCATCTACTTTTCTTCCTTTGGAATTCTAACGGCAAGGATTGGATTTTGTGGAGTCCTTTGAAGAATTTGGTTTAGTACGAAACCCTTTGGATCCTCTAGGACCATCCATGTTCCTGTTTCCATGTCTTGCCTCAATTGTTGACCGAGTTTGATTCAGTCTCTCCCATTGTTTTCTTTTGTGCAATTGGAAACCGATTACTCAGTGTGATGCTTTGTGATCATACAGTGGAGAGTTCGAAATGACATGACAGGCCCATAAAGAACATGTTTTTATGAAACCATTAGAATGATGTTGCTTAGAACAAGGTTGATTTAAACATGGCCATGGCTAATGGTATATTAGCATAAGACAGTGGCTTTAGTAAACACTATGCAGATTACGATTTAGGTTAGCTTGGTTTGTTCCCCATTCCATAATATTTGGTTCCTCGTGTACTTTGGTATGGAGATGTTAGGTGAAGAATTTACTATCATTGTTTCTTCTCCGAGTGGAAATTTTCGGTAGGCACGTTTTATGTCATAAATGATTTTGGCTTTTTGTTAACTTTTTACAAAGTTTGGGCTCTGAAGATGTCAAGTAAAGTTAAGGGATTTTTTCGAGATGTTGTTATGCCATAACTGTAGGGACCCTCAATAAGGATTTGACGAGTTCTGATATTTCCGGTTTGCTACTGATTTACTGATCCTGCATGATTCCTTTTCTCCAGGTGTTCTTCCTCGGTGGAAGGCTCATATTTGGACCCGATGCCCAGTCTATTTTGCTTACCATCTTCTTGATTACTGCCCCAGTTACTGTCTTCTGTGTATTTGTCGCTAGAAAGCTTATGGATGACTTCCCCCACAATAGAGGAGTATCAATATTAGCAATCGCCATTGGACTGAACTTGCTTGTAAGTTCCTTTTTCTCGCAAATGATTCTCCTTCATTCAGATCATTCAAATATCTGGACATTTGTTTCTGCTGTTCCTTTATGAGGTCCTCCATATCTTTTGATTTATTATATCTTCGCTTCATCTTACAATTCTTGGTTTCTTGATATCTCTACTGAATTGTTGGCAGGATCTAATATTTCTTCTCCTAACATCGGGGAGAGACCCGGGAATAATACCTCGTAATCTATATCCTCCCGAGCCAGAGAATTATGAAGGCGATGGGGAGCCACGTATCAGCCGAACTCCTCCACTTCGGTTGCCAAGAACAAAGGATATGGTGGTAAATGGAATCACTGTGAAGATCAAGTATTGTGACACTTGCATGCTTTATAGACCACCTCGTGCTTCTCATTGTTCCATATGCAACAACTGCGTGCAGAAGTTTGATCATCACTGCCCCTGGCTTGGCCAGTGCATTGGATTGGTAATGTATATTCTTTCACCGCAAAATCTTGATAGTTCTATTTATTGAGTCGATATGCCATTGGGTGGACAAAACTTCCCAAATATCCAAACCAAAACACTATCTGACTCCGTAAAAAATCAAAACTTTAAATATCCTGTGCCTGTTCCTCCTCAGATCTTATGAGACCTCAGAAGACAAGATTTTGATATGGATATTCGGGATTCCAAAATATGGATAGTAAAACCGGTCTTTCCAAATAGCGGACCAAGTGATATCCATTGCTACCTATTGTTTGGCTGAACCATAATAGCAATCTCCTAATTGTATGTTTGTATTCTTGTCCAGTTGATATATTTAAATGGTAAATTCTGATAATGTACGCAGAGAAACTACAGGTTTTACTTCATGTTTGTGTTGTGTTCAACTCTTCTCTGCATTTACGTGCACGTGTTTTGCTGGATCTACGTCAAAAGGATCATGGACGGAGAGAAGACAACTATCTGGAAAGCCCTAATCAAGACTCCTGCCTCCATCGCTCTTATTATCTACACATTTATCTCGGTCTGGTTTGTCGGTGGCCTTACCGGCTTCCATTTATACCTCATCAGTACTAACCAAGTAAGCGAACACTCTCCGTAAACCTTCTGCTGATCCTTTACACCGGGTTCTTCTGAGATCACTGCTCATTGAATTCATGTGTGATCATTCATTGATTTGCCGTGTTTGATGTTCTTGTGATTCATTTCACATTCAAACCATTGAATAGTTTTCAAGCTGGTTGTGACATGGGGTTTTTATGTTGTTTTTTGGTAGTCAACATATGAGAACTTCAGGTATCGGTATGACAGACATGAGAACCCATTCAACAAAGGGATACTCTTGAATTTCTTGGAAGTGTTCTGCTCAAGTGTTTCTCCATCCCGAAACAACTTCAGGGAAAAGACACAGAAGGAGCCTGTGATCCCTCCAAGGATTGTGAATGGGGGCGGGTTATCAAGCCCGAGCTTGGAGAAAGTGGTCCACGACATAGAGATGGGGAGGAAGCCCGTGTGGCACGAGACAGTTGAAGAAGAACTCGGGGTTTTTGACGATAAGGACGGGGAAACAGCTCTTGTGTCACGGGATTTCAGCAGAATACTTCCACCGGAGGAAACAGAAGGACGAGGGATAATGCATTCAAGGGAATCGAGTAGGGGAAGGAGAGGTGGGAGCTGGGAAGTCCCAAACCGCTTTAGTGAAGACATCAGAAGAAGTGGAGAATCAGAGTCCAAGAGAGCTGGTGACGATGAAGATGATTCAGGCAAGGATGAGAAGGAAATGGACGACGTATCCCGGGTCGAGATATTTGGTGAAGGATCTGAGAGGTCGAGACCCGGAGAAAGGGTGACGAAAAGCGGCAGGAATCGTGAAAGATCGACGGGGAGTGGACGGTTATAGACTCTCTCGGGTAAAAACTCTGGGAAAATGTAAATGTAGCAAAGGAAGAAGAAGAAGAAGAGAATGCGTGTTTCCTGGTGCAATAGGCGACATTTGGTTTGGTTGTGCTTTCTCACGTTTTATGTAAAGTAAACGGTTGGGTGGATATTTGAATATTTGAATCAATGTTACAACCATTACGAAACACAGAAAGAGAATCCATGAAGACCATACAGTCTTTCAAGGAAAATCTCCGTGGATTTTGCATCATTCTAATTGAACCCTCCTTTTTTTGTCGTTATATGTCTTAAACGGACGTTTCATCGCAAAGTCGTCATATACGAAGTGTATTTATCGCTTCGCGGGCAGTGGCAAATATTACGTAAATTTTGTTTGGCTGTCTATACCGGTCTGGTTAACCAAACCGGTATATCTTTTGGGATTGTTGATCCTAAATGTCATAACCGGAAGGAAATAGCTAGGGGTGTAAAATGGGCGGGTCGGGCCGGGTTCGGGCCGGACTTAGTTCGGGCTTCGAATTTTTCGGGCCGGGCCGACCCGCCCATTTATTTTTCGGGCTTATGATCGGTGGTCCAGAACCAAAACCCTGCCCTATAAGACTTCGGACGGATTCGGACCGGGTTTCTGGTTTTTTTCTATTTAATAAAAAAATAAATATTAACATATAATAATAATAATAATAACAATAATAATAATTTAACAATTTAAAAAAAAACAATAGCAAATTTTTGTCCATATCAATTATAATTAAAAAAATTAAAATTTAAAAAATAATCATATAAAATTTAAAATATATAAATTATATAATATTTTTAATATATATAATATATGAAAAATATATTCGGTACAATAAAAAGTAATATAATATAAGTTTAATATATATTAATCAAATTGCTTTAAAATATATATATATAAAACATAAAAAAAATTTATATGTTATGTGGTATTAAATCTCAAATGAAAGTAAAAATCTAATAATATAATTTTTTTTCGGGCTAAATGGACGGGCCGGGCGGGTTTTGGGCCAGACTCGATTCGGCTCTAACTTTTTTCGGGCCGGACCGGCCCGCCCATTTATTTACTGGGCCTATATTATTAGGCCCAAACTCTTAATTTTTCGGACGGATTTCGGGCCGGACTTTGAGTTTCGGGTTCTATTGACACCCCTAGAACTAGCTCTTTGTAATTTTTACTCTGAAGATTGGTATTTCTAACTTCCGAAGGTTTTGGATTATGTTCTGTAATAAAAACTAAGGCGGCCAGTTGTAAGAATCTTAATAAAAATCGTCAAAAGATGTTGGGTTCAGATTTTACCAGCGGTGAGATTTAAAAAAAAAAAACAAATTAATGACTTTCCTTTACCTAAATATATATTTCCGAAACTGGTCCAAAAATGATATAACGCCTTGGAGAAATTATAATCATGTCTTATTGTGTTATGTGGCTTTTTTATACGATATATAATAACGGTGAAATCGTGTTTATTAACCTTTTAAAATTTTATTTAAATTCTCAGAGATGCGATTAAGGTATAGGTCTGTCCACATCCTGTTAAATTCACGAACTATCTGATAGTGTATATTATGTATTAGTTAATTATTATTGTTATTAATTATTATTACGGTCCGACGGTCCATGTATGTATGCAGGAGTCAATGATGAAAAAACAACAAAGGAGGCCGAGGGAAGGCTGGTTTTACGATCCGACCCTCTCTCTCCTTTTGACGGAGCCGAAGATATTCAATTGTTTCATCTCTCTCTCTCTCTCTCTCTCTCTCTCCGCCTCAGAAATTTCAGATTCCGATTTGGCGAAGAGTGTCCAGATCTCGGATTCGTTTTGGAGCGAGCGAGAGTGAGGGAATTGTCGGACAAGAAGAAGCGGAAGACGGAGACCTGAACGATGATAACGATCCCGTACCTCACCGCCGTTTCCACGTATTTCAGCTACGGCTTTCTCTTCGCCTTCGGTCAGCTCCGAGATTTCTTCCGCCGCCTCCTCGATTGGTGGCTCACCAACAATCTCCAGGTCCGTGTATCTTTCTGTGGTATTTGTGCGCATGGATTTTGCGCTCGCAGCTCTTCGATGTTTGAGCGCAGCCACGTGTTCTTTTGTTTTTCCCTGATTTCGGCGTGTTTTTCTCTGATTTTTCTATGTAGGGATACGCGCCGATCTGTTTGGGGCATGAGGATTTCTACATCAGGCGATTGTATCATCGAATTCAGGTATCTCGTCATCACTCCATCTCGTTTGTGTTGGATTCCTCTCGTGTGAGCTGTGAAATTGTGAATCGATCTCATGTTCTGCTTAAAATTGATTTTGATTCTCATCTATGTCGGTCTGGGGTGGGGTGTTCGGGCTGAAACGTAGTTCTTGAACATTTGTTAATCACGCAGAGCGAAAGATGTATGGAATTGGGATGACCAATGTATCGTTTGTGTTTTCTAATGTTTGGTGGTAACTTGATGGAGCCTCTGGTTTAGTTCTAGTACAGGCTGTTGTATTTTGTGTATGATGCCTAACGTTTTGTTTGCCTTCCGTTAAGGACTGTTTTGGACGTCCCATATCTAGTGCTCCTGATGCATGGTTTGATGTGGTTGAGCGGTACTCAAACGACAACAACAAGACTTTAAAGTGAGTATGTCTTTCTGTTCTTTTCCTTTTTTCATAGGTAGTTTGAATGGTTTCGATAGTATTATGTACAAAATATAAAAACTTTTGGAAGCGTTGTATTCCGTGTATCATCTATGGGTGTTCCCAAGTAATTCTTTGGATGCTACTCCTTGGCCTTGCAGACGAACAACAAATAGCAGCAGGTGTCTCAACTTGGGGTCCTATAATTATCTTGGGTTTGGTTCTTTCGATGAATATTGCACGCCTCGTGTTATTGAGACTTTGAAGAAGTTTTCGGCCAGTACGTGCAGCCCTCGTGTTGATGCAGGTAAGGTGTCTTTGCATATCGAGTCTAGAACCATTTTGACTAGTTTTTGCCTGACATCCGTGCTCTGCACCATCAGGAACTACATCTATACATGCGGAACTCGAAGAATGTGTTGCTAGGTTTGTCGGGAAGCCTGCTGCTGTTGTCTTTGGCATGGGCTATGCAACAAACTCAGCTATCATTCCTATCTTGATTGGCAAGGTATGTGTATATCTAGAACTTGGTTATGAACGCCCATGTTCTCTGAGTATCATCTTTAATTTGCTTATTTATTCTACTTTTTTGGCCTCTGCTGCCTGGTGTGCAGGGAGGGTTGATAATAAGTGATTCTTTGAACCATAGTTCAATTATAAATGGTGCGCGAGGGTCAGGCGCCACAATTCGCGTTTTCCAACATAACAGTAAGTTTTTTTTTGCGGTGTTTCAGCTCCAGGTTATCGTCCAAAATGAACGTAAATCTATTTGGATGAATGATATGTATATTCTCATGCTCTCTGCTTTTAGCGCCTTCTCATTTGGAGAAAGTATTGAGAGAACAAATTGCTGAAGGACAACCCAGGACTCACAGACCATGGAAAAAAATCATTGTCGTGGTTGAGGGTATCTACAGCATGGAAGGAGAGATTTGCGAATTGCCCGAAATTGTCGCAATATGCAAGAAGTATAAGGTGAGGCAACTCTTAAGATTTACCAGTTGTGATAATTGATTCACAACTGAAAGCATTCCGAACGGATACATGCAAACGCCCTATATAAAAATCCTGGTGCAATTCTACAGTGTGGGGAAATTGAGGAACTCTACATTGTTGTTACTTGCTTAACTAGATCATCATTTGCAACTTCAAAACTTTTACGAAACTTATGCAGGGTCTCTTGATATTGATTACAAATAACTCATCTTTAATTCTCGTTCCAGGCATATGTTTACTTGGATGAAGCTCACAGCATTGGAGCTGTTGGGAAAACAGGAAGAGGTGTTTGTGAACTTCTTGGAGTTGACACAGCTGATGTTGACATAATGATGGGAACTTTCACGAAATCTTTTGGGTCTTGTGGTGGCTATATTGCTGGATCTAAGGTTAGTTTTTTAATGTGAATTTGTTATATCAACCCCATGATACCGTTTGATGTATTTTCTGTAAATGCTTTGATATTCGTTTGGTAGCCTTAGCTTCTATGGATTGCTTCTTCCTTTGACACTCTGCACATTTAGTTCCGCAGACCATTTGATGCTTATTTATAGGCAAGTTGTGGACATAATCTCAAAATTCTGACGGTAGAATATAGATTGAATATATTTAATGTGAAAATATTTGTAGGAACTGGTACAATTTCTCAAGAAACACTGTCCAGCTCATCTTTATGCAACATCAATATCACCTCCTGCTGCCCAGCAAATCATATCTTCCATTAAAGTGATCCTTGGAGAGGACGGTTCAAACAGAGGTATTCCCCTCTCTTTTCTTACTAACTTTCCGATCTCTAAAGCTTCATTAGCAGTCTAATGAAGAATCCCGCCTTTCTTTTTTTTTTGGGTCAAAAACTTAATATCAGGGGCACAAAAGCTTGCAAGAATAAGAGAGAACAGCAACTTCTTCCGAGCCGAGCTGCACAAGATGGGATTTGAGGTTCTTGGGGACAACGATTCACCCGTCATGCCAATAATGCTCTACAACCCTGCCAAAATCCCTGCCTTCTCTAGGGAATGCCTGAGACAAAATGTAAGGCTCTCCTCCAATATCATGTGAGGCTTTTTTTTCCCCCGAATCAGATCATCAAAACAAGAACAAAAAGAAAAAGAAAGAGAGAAAGAAGAATAGTTCCAGATCCATTTGGAAGGGACATTAAACATATCTTTTGAAAACAGGTGGCAGTGGTGGTGGTAGGTTTCCCGGCTACACCGTTACTGCTGGCGAGGGCCCGCATTTGCATTTCGGCATCACATTCAAGAGAAGATCTTATCAGAGCCCTGCAGGTAAACCTTTTTGCGTTTGAACTGATGACGACGATCCATTTTGCTCTTTCCCAACGACAACAAACTCAACTCATATATTTTTAATTTTCTGGGTTATAAAAACAGGTAATAAGTAAAGTAGGCGACGTCACAGGAATCAAATATTTCCCGGCGGAGCCCAGCAAGCCAGAGAAAGACACTACCAAGCTGGATTGAAAACGGTTCAAAAGGTATTTTTAAACAGATAGTCTCTCATGTTTCTTCTGTTCAATCCTAGAAATTGCCCCCTTTTGTTGCATTCGGCCGACATGATGGTGATGGATGATTCTATATCTCTACCAAATTGGTAATATACATGCAATATCTTATCGTGGGTGGGTCGTCCGTGTTTGTATCGTGCTCTTCCTTATTTATGCGATGCTACTACCTCTTACTGTGATGGAAGATACTCTTTTTGTTTATTTGTACAGTTTCTGCCTGAATAATCTTTGTTTGTTTGTTTGTCCATCAAACACGTTAAACCTTTTTATTTTGGGTTTTCTCCCGAGTTGTTAACTAGGAATCTCCAAGCTCTTGAGGATAAATCATCCTTGCAATGATTGAACCCCGACATTATTATTATTCTCTTGTTTACACCGTAAGACCCATTGAAAAGAGCTTAACAATATTTCCAGACCGAGCTTCTTCTGCTACACACACATAATCTGTTGTTTCCTATGGATTGGATTGTTCTAATAATGAAACCCTCGAGAGACACAGGTACAGGAAGCAATCACACGAAGGCCTGCGCTCTCTGATGCTGATGCTGATGCTGATGCTGATGCTGACGCTGATACTTACATTCAAACCACAACAACTACTACAAAAAAGAGAGAGAGAGAAGAAGAAGAAGCGTTTTAAGGTTCAGTCATTGCAGGCAGCTTACATTTTGCCATTCCAAAAAAGAAAGAAAACCCCCAAATTAATTTCGATCAAAATTCCCAACCCTCTTGTTGTCTGCCTAACCACTAAATGCTCCTATACTATCAGGAGAACTCCCTCCCGAGCTTCTGAATGGCACAGTACATCTTCCTCCTGGATCCCACCGCATTGATCCCCATGTCCTTGAGATCCTCCAATGTCAGCAGCGGCAACACCTCTTCGTCCACCTCATGTATCTCAAACACTGGCCAATATCTCCCCATCCCCAACTCCTCCAGCCATATCCTCACCCCTTCCCTCCCTCCCCCTCCCCCCATCTCCGACGGATCTGACGCCTCCGTTTCCCTGTTCTCCCTACTCCTATTGTACCTTCTCCTCTCGTCAAAATCCTCTCTTTTCTCCACCGAATCCACTGGTGACTCTTCCTTCATCGGACTCTCCCAGTCTTCCCGCACGAAATCCCCATACCCATCTTCCACTTGTTCTTCTCCGCTGTGTTTCTCACCCCCCTGGCCGAAGTTGCTCCGTCCGTCCTCCGTTCTCGGTACGCAATTGGACCGAACCCGCTTCGTGGATGCTGTAGTCGTCGCTCCGGAGGATGGCCCCACCCTTTTCTTCACTCGCCAGCTCCCGACGCCCATGGAATCCACGTTCCCTTCCCTGTCCTCATATAGGGTTCCGCTGTTCTCGTAGCCGGAGCTCAAATTCGTTAGGGTTCGAGTCCTCGACGACTTCCCAGTCGGATTAAGGTCCTTTCTATCACCCGAGGGCTTCCATTTCGATCTCCGCACTTGCGAATCGTACGACACGTGGTGGTACTGCTCGTCGCCGATGTCCCCTAACCGAACGCTCGGTCTTCTCAGTCGCTTCGATCCGACGGTGACGGCAGCCCCGATGGGGGGA